TATATTTTTTTAATTCTGTAATATTCCTGGGCAGCCAGCAGAAACTTGGGCAATGTGAATTTTTTGAGATGCCATGTCATTATCAGATATTTTGCATGATGGATCATGATCTGTAATGATATGCATAGATTAAACAGCGATGCAAGTAACAAGTTGTACTTTTTGGCAGGGTCAGGAACTGCTCCAGTCTGTGGAAAAAAAGATAAATCAATCAAGTTCCACATCAACTTTGATGCAGCCGCCGTCCCAGCCATTTCTCCACCCACTCAAGGCTTTCCAGGTACGTGCTGGAGCTACTGCATGTCATTTTGAATAGTTTATTTCAGGAAGTATTTATAATACTTTTATTTTCATTATTATTATTATTATTTAGACTCATCAATTAGAGGGAATAGTGATGATTGACTTTAGTGATTTATTTGTGAAAGAGCTAAGTCAAGGATTATAATCACAGAAGTTGACATAGTTTAGATAGTTTTGACGTACAAATATGTAAATCTTACCACGTTCTAAATTTTGGAGATTGTATAATTTATTTTATTGGTAGGTATCTTTACTGAAACTGAGTATTACCCATTATAATTTACTATTAATTTTATGATTTATTTTTTCCAGTCTGCAAAAGATCTGAGGAGTGGAGAACAGGCCAAAATAGAGATTTCTCCAGGAGGTCTAGAAAAAGAAGAAAGAATTAGTCTGAGTGGCCTTAGTGCAGGCAAGCGTGATGTTGAGGAGTCCAGCAGTGCATGTAGTGGGTCACTTCTAGGAAATTTGGTGAGTTGATATATACTACTTAAAGAATCTGGGGAAAAGAAGAGGAATGTGAAGAGTTAACATATGACAAGGGATTCTTTTCCTCAGCTCATATCTTATGCTTTAGGAGAATTAAACAAGCATTAGGTAAATTATATTGATTTTTTAAATTAAATGTTGTTATAAATACCTATTCTCTGATAATCTGACACTGACTGATGCAAATAGTAGTTTAACCTTCATTACCTCCACTGCTAGTAGTGATTTGATGTAGTGGTTCCAACCCTTTTTTAGATTTACTTTCTGTGTTTATGTTTTTACAGAACAGCTGTATTACTCTGATTTTGAATTTTCATCTCTTTAAAGTACACATTACAATGCAAGGCTCAGGGCCAGTCTCTCTCACCTACTGTGGCTAATTGATAAACCAACAGGACATAGACAGGCATTTTTTATATATCTTTGAGCACTGAATAATGGTTACTAATCACATACTATGAGTCTTGTCAGATGAACAAACAGTAACTGGGCGTTTAGTTATCATATTTGGTTTAAGAGAGTGTGAGCAAGGGCAGAGAAAGTAGGGATGATAAAATGATGGTGAAGAGTGAAGCTACTGTATATGGAGATTTATATATATTTTGAAATAGACCTGAGATAAGAGATTGTGAACCATAGTTCTGTCTTGGCAAGTGGACATGTTCTTATTTTCCTGTTGGTCCACCTCAAGACTGATGTAAATCATTCATTCTTATTGATTCTTTCATACTTGCAATGGTAATTCTTTGAAAAGTATTAAGTAAATCAGTAGGATAATAATGAAGTTTTAACAACTTATGTATTGGTAATGGGTTTTCATCTATTTATCAAATTCAACTCTTGTCATAAAGGGCGATGATGATGATGATGAAGCTGCCCCAAGAGTTCGTTCTGGTGGGAGAAGACGGACTCGGCACCGGGAGGTTCGGAAGCAGATGCAGACGGAGGATGATGACCCTCCCTTTCTCCCATCCCCAGCCGGGAGCCAGTCCTCATCCCTGGAAGGAATTTATCCCCAAGGGAGAACCTCCCATCCCTTTAGAGTTGTAGAGCATGACACTGCAAGTGTTTACAGCTCAGTATCTTTAGGAAAGGTTAGTTCATATTGTTTTTCCTAAAGCTAGATGTTTATATTTAGATTATGCATATCCTTGACCCTATCAATATTTTCGAATATAAGGGTTCCTTTTTATAGGAATTCTCCAGCTACATTAATGAAAGGATATGAGAGGCTCTGTAGTCCCAAGAAATGGTTCTCTGATTGATATTCATTAGTATAGTAACAAGTATATCAGAAATAGATTTATTATCTGTCACTCTGAACTCAATCATTGGTCTTGAACATGATTCCTCTATTTTAGGTTGGGAAGATCCCATCAGGGACAGATGGGCACACTATACGAGAAAGCCATGTAGGGCCGGAAATTGAGGCACTCTCAGAAGACAAGGTGTTAGAACAGCCTCTAGCAGACCCACCTAAGGATGTGTTATTGCCAGGAAATATGATAAGTCCAGGTATGTCTAGGTTGTGAGATTTTGTTTAAAATGTGCATTATACTTTGTAAGTAATTTTTATGTTATTCATCCTAGTTGCCAGCCTGTAAGATGCATCTCTGTTCTGTGACTTTTTAGAGAACAAGATCTGCACAGAGTAAATTCTCAGAAAACAAAAATACTAGGAGTATTTGCCAGTATTTCTTGTGTACCCTTCATAACATTGGATGATGTCCAATAATACCTTGGTGAAGCAGGCCCATTTGCTGGTTGGCAGTCACCCGTGCTGTGTGTGGTTGAGTCTACTATATGTTGCGTGTGCTAAACAGTTGTTTGCTTGATTATCCTTGATGTGCTCATTGAGGAGATACAGCGCCATAAACACCCTATGTTTAAATTGAAAACTGTTTATGATAATAGCACTCGGATCACCATGAGATCTTGCATGTGGTAACTGTAATTGTCATAGTGGTAATGAAATGGTGATCAGATGAATTTAATTTCAGATTGACCTTTTCTGTAAGCTGTAAAAATAACCTAAAATCTAAAATTGAAGTGTGTCTCCTGTCTCATGTCATTTTTTTGTTGTTGTTGTGTACTCCATGCAAAAGGTAGCTGGTATTTGAGATTTGTTTTGAATTGCTTTCTGTGTGATTTGATGTGTTAACCCAGTGACACTGGGTTGGCTTGTTCGCACATGCTATTCCCACTGTGATTTTAGTTTATCTTAACCACTTGCTGCCTAGGATGGCATGTGCATACATGCCATTGCCCACTGTGTGTTTAATTTAGTAATTGATTTTACATATAGATGGCTCCACAAGTACTAAATCAGAAATGAGCAATTTACGAGAACTACCTGTCTCATCTTTTTACGCTTTTCCTAGATTTTCGATAATATATTCTAGTATTTAATACTGCTCTTAGTAATGTCAATAACAATATAAGAATTATAATGTTTATAACAAAAATAGCAGTGTCAATATTGATAGCATTAGTAAAAAAAAGTTTTTTCATGCTATTTCAAGGAAATGTGAGGTCGCAAGATCTACTAATTGACTCCTTTCTAGGTAAGCACTGGCAGAGCCATCTATGTAAAGAAAGATATAACAAAACAATACTAAAGTGAAGGCAACATTTCCCCATCGACATTGGGTTAATTTTGAGTATACATAGACAACTCTAGAAATGGTCAATAAACAAGGACTCAATTACTAGTCCTACATGCTCTCACCTATTAACCCCTTTCTTTGATTTAAAAGAATAGATATATATTTTTGCTGCAATTACTACTGTTAATAGCATTAGGATAGGCATAAAGTTAGTAATGATAATACTGATGATAATAATGTTATGAGGGGTTTTGGAGAAATACAAGGAATGACAAAATCAGATGTGTTCAGTTAAGCCTACTAATTGAATCCTTGGTGACTAAGCATTAGTGGAACCATCTGTGTGTAAATAAAATTCTCAAAACAAAACTACAGTGGATAGTTTAAGTACCCATTGGCAGTGGGCAACACAGTTTCTGAGGTAGATAACTTTAGAAATTTTGGTTATGTTTGTAAGGGGAGAGAGTTATACTTAAATAAACCATTTTTTAGTCTCCAAAACCTGTTCAAGAAGCTTGAGATAATTTTGTTTGATGTAAACTACTTGTGCTAATATTAATTGTGATTGGTGGACTACAGCTCACAGCAGTTTACTCCATCATCAAGTAGTAATCCTTTTGTTTTTAGCACCACAGCCCATCAAGGCATTTCAGATGCTAAATGATGTCTGTACATAAAGGCAGGCAAATATGATATGTTTTTCTGGTCCCTTGAGGTCTGGTATAAAGGTTGTAGCAATCAGGTAAGATAGATTGGCCAGAGAGATCACTTGAGTTGACTGCATGCAGTCAGGACAATTGCACAGCATATCAAAGTGTTAGGAAAGACATAGATGAAAGGAAATCCAAGACAGATCTCAGCTGTTCCTCTGCTCCGCCCATTAGCTCCTCTGTAAAAGTAGATGGGCTATAAATTATTATCTGAGACTAGATAAATTAGATATTCTCTGTCATTTCTGAGGGGAGATGTTGTGCTGTTTATTTTATGTCACAGATTTACTGCACACATTGCTCTCCATTGCTCCCAGTGATATTCACAGTCAGTATCATTTGTCCAGGTTCTTCTGCATATGTTCCTTTCCAGAGTAGAGTAATGTGTTACTCCCTCATGTGTTTATTGTTTCTCTTATGATGTATTTATTCCTGTCAACCCCCTCCCATCCCCCTTGCATGTTTTCAGTACTGCCTTTGTGTGGGGACAGTAGGATGTAAGCCCTCTGCTATAACTGGGGAAAGGTAGCCAGAGCACAGGTTGTGCAACTGACTATTTTTAAAGGAAGGAAGATTGGTTTTCTCTCCCTCTCTAATGTTCAACTTCCTCTGTCAATCTTTATCTAGGAATGGGGGAGAGGAAATCAGTTTCTGTGCCTTTTTTACAGACATCTCTTGTTTGTCCCATGCAGCACCCATGGGGATTCCCCCTAATATTATTTTTGCTGAATGAGGGACTTGATAACAGCTATCTCTTAGGCAGAGTAGTTTATACCAGACCACAACTGTGATGGACAAACCTACAACTCTACCATGCTAGTCAGTAAATCCCAACTTTTGATAGACTGACCTATGATTAATCTGCTGCTAGCAAATTGCCAAACTATGGCATATCCCTTATTATGGTAACAAGGGCTATATCTTCTATATGCCAATGCAGTGCTCTGCAAGCCTGTTGGTCATGGCTACTTTTGGTAGCAAGGCCCTCAACAATGCCATACTGTTGCTGTAGTACTCCACATCTCACCCCTTCTGGACTCAAAGCCAAGTGGCACATTGCACTCCCTCACCTTCAGAATGTGTCATCTTTTGTGGCTGACAGCTCACTCACCATGGGGTTCTGTGGCAGGTTCTACTTAACTTCTTGATCACATGGTATCTCTTTGAGCCTTCTCATGGACTCATCACCAAAGGTTTTAAGTGAGATCTCTGTTACCTTGGCAAGATCTAGAGTAGTGTACTCACCTATGTTGTAACTTATACACCCTACTCTTGGTTTTGTTAACAGATTTGACATTCTGTCTCTGTATTATGGCATTTTGGACTGCTAGTGGTTAGAGTAGTGGAGCAGATGTTTTGCAGGACCACCTAGTCCTCATGTTAACCATTAACCGACGGGTGGCATGCACGTACATGTCATGGCTGTTGTGGACCGAAAAACTGATGGCAACGTATCATGCCCATTCCTACACCATTGGCTAGTCGGACAGAGTTTGTTTTTCTCTGATAGTAGCAGCTTCATTTACATAGTAAAGATTTTAGGTAATAGCACCTTTAAGGAAGGTAAACCTTTAAAATTACAATATTTTTATAGATTACTGCAAAATAAAAGCTTTTAAGTGCCAAATGTTGCTCACAAACTACTGAACTAGCTGGGCACAAACTGGGGAATCTGCCAATGCACTAACAATCCCATTATTACATCCACTTGCCAAACATTTTTACCCATTGGCATTGGGTTTAGTGCAAGGGAAGACTTATGATGGCTATTTCACATGGTGATTTCCATTATAATTGAGACAACAACTACTTTCATATTCCCACACCAATGTCTTTCATTTAGGTTGCATTTCAAAGTACATTTCAAGGCAAAATGAATGGTTATGTGGTTCTAATATCAGTAAATACAAATGCAATAAAATCTGTGAAGATTATTTTGCATTTAGAAAATCAAAAATGTTAATTTTTCTGCTTTATTTGCTGAATAAAAAGATAAAGCAGTAATTAAAATTGATCCTCAGATAAGCTGGATTTACAGTGCAAGCACATAGAGATTGATAAACATACACACACATTTTAATATTTGCCAGGTGGTGTTACAGATGCAGTGTAGATTTGTTTATGAGCTTTTCCCAATATAGATACTTCATGCCGGGGGAAAATAGGAGAAATGGGCCACAGTATTCAGCATGCTTACCACTTTTCCAGCTCGTACCCTCTGACTCATTCTCCTTCATGCACCACTAATCTCACATGCTCTGCTGAAGGTTGTGCATAACATGTGTTTACAGCAAGGGTATGTATGATTAGAGGGGGCCTATGCAGCATCCTTCACAAGCTCACATCACTGCAACCTTCACATCCCTGTGCTGCTTTTCACAGCACCTACAGCCCAGGAAAAAAATATGAATCCCTGTAAGGGTTTTGATTGTTAATTTGTGCTAGTGTTGCACATCGACACTTTCTCTTAGGAAGTGACTGGCATTGATATGCAAATTGCACTAATTTGGAAATAGTTTAGAGCAATTTTTGTGCATATATAATCTGCAATGATGTCAGAATGCATTTCTGAAAGAAATGTAAAAACATTTTTCCATTGACTTACCTTTGAAGCACCCCCTTAAAGAAATAATATATGGACCATAGCATGTGAAGGGAGAATGAACCAGCAAACCAGACGACGGAGGTCAAACCAACTCTACTACCCCCATTGTTTCCTTCCGCAACAACTGTCAAGAGAGCAAGTCCAACTAATCCATTACAAAGGCAGGTTGGAAAACAAACAATGAGCGGATTAAGTCAAGCAGTAAAGAGCCAGAGCTATTCACTAAGATATCTAATCAGGCTATCATACCTGATGGCTAAAGCCTTCACCACAGATCTCAAAGAACCTCCCCTCAAAACTTGATTATATACGTATACCCTGAAATAACTTCCAAGAGGTGAACAGAGGTAGAGCATATGAAAGATTAGATTAATTTTATCTTTTCCAGGTACATATATGATCAGTTAGGCTAAGATTGTATTAGGATGGCCAATATAGCAGACAGACCATAGGGTCAATGCAGTTAGTGCTGTATTTTTAGTATGTATTATTTCAATATGAAAATGGAAAATTAGGTTTATTACACATAGTAATTGATGATATGTTGAAAGATAATTTTATAAGGTAAGACACAAAGTGTATGTAAAGTAACATCAATGTAACTATCTCCACAGAACCAGATTTGGTAGCAAGCACAAAAAGCAGTTCAGGAAGCGACAAGTCCAATAGTCTTCCTCGTACTGCGCAGGAAACCCCTCCAGCAGGTACTCTGGGTGAGCCAGCCCCCTCGCCCCTTCACCTGCCTCATGCTGAACCCCCAAGAGAAGAACAAGCTCCAGAATTACCATCTTCTCCGGCAGTTGTCCCTGTTCCGCCCTCTCAGAATGGGGAGCAGGTCCAGGTGGTAGATCCATGTGCAGTTACCCAGGCTGTCCCGTTGGCACCAATTGTTTCTCAAGAGGTGCCCCAGGTCATGTGTCCACCTCCAGCTCCTGCTTCTGCTGCTGCTCCTCCAGCTCCTGCTCCTGCTGCCAGCACTGTACCTGTAGCCCCTCCAAGGAGACGACGCAGGAATCGGTTGAACACAGATGATGTTAGTATTTTTCTTCTTTTGTGTCTGAGGGGTGGGAGGGCATAAGTGTGTATGTGGGTATTTATGTATCTATTGAAAGATACATTTTATTCTATCTTATTGAAAAATTTGACAGTATGGAGAATGTAATTCTATATACAGTTAAACTTCTACTAGAATGGAATTAAAGATCGGGTATTATTCATAGAATGTATTTCTGTATATAGTTAAAATTCTACTAGAATGAAATTAAAGACTAGATTTTTTCTCCTTTTAGGATACAGCAAGTCTGGCAAGTGTTTCATCATTACCTTCACCAGCCCTCACTCTCACAACAGTTGATGCCATTAGCATTGGTCAGTCTTTAGATCTTCGTCAAGCCGTCCGGGGAGATTATTTGGTGAAGCCTCAGGTGTGTATTCCTTTTTTTTAAGATTAAACTTGATTTTCAGATATATTTATCTCAGTGGCATGTATTGATTTTTCATGGTTTATGTTGAATATGGTAAGAATAAGTATTTGGTATTTTAGGATTCAGAAAATGCCAAAGCAGTGGGACCAAGTGCAGAGGAGATAGCCAGAATAGAAGCAGAGGACACGACCAGCCAAGCATCCACTCCTGAGGTGTCCAGAGCCCCGAGTCGACTTGCTAACACAGGGCAACAACCAACCTCATCAGAAGGAACACCAGATACCCCTGGCACCCCAGGCTCCCTGCCTCCTGATACTCCTACATCAGGTATGAGTTGTTTGTATTTAGGAATTTTTAGTTTTCAGGCCAAACAAAGGTCATAGATTCCATATACTTATAAATGGCTGATGTAGAAGAAATGAGTTTCTGGTAGCCATTATGAAAGATTAGAGAAAGATATAGAGTATAGCTTGAATATATTTATAAATACATTGTCTTAGTTATAATGTAAATTTACAAATAGTGAATAATCACTTTTTAGTATTACGACTGCTTTGCACGCATTTGTAATTTTTTAGACACTATGAATAAAATTATTGCCCCAATACTACAGATGCTGCAGCTAGTCCAGCTTCTAGTAGTGATGGACAGAAGAAGCAGTTGAATTTGATGGTTCGAACACGCTCAGATTCTGGGAAGGAGCTCTCAGATGCGGTAAGTTGCATGGTACTGTCTCTATTGGCAGCTCTCTAGATGTAGCTATCTTCATAGATGTCAGTGGATGGATGGATTAATGCAAACTGTATGGAGTGAATAGTGAAGTAAGAGGTTGGACTCTGCTCTGTCCTATGCTTCATTTCTACAAGATATTTTTTTTCATTGCTGAGTTAACATTGTGTCCTCCTTTTCTTACAATAACATTTACAGTTCACAAAATATGAAATATGTATTAAGAATTGTTAATACAGTATTTGGTATTTTGTGAATGAACTGCTGCTTAGTTGTGTGAGTGGTGCAAAAATCTTTTGTTTATAATTCTTAGTCTAAAACTCACATCTCCTCTCTTTGAAGGAATGGTTTTTGCAGTCTCCTGTTGACTTTGATGCCTTCATGAGTGACAAAGTGAGTTTGTTTGGCATTTTAAGTCGGTTTGGTTTTAGCATTGTTTTATTTGTGGAACCTTTAGTCTACTTTCATTCTTCTGTATCCTAATTTTGCTGTAGTGACACTGCACTTGTGTTTTAACCTTAGATTGTAAGTTTTCTTGGTAGCAGGATGCAATAGATGTGCAATTTCTGTGGTGTTTGAAGGTTTGGATTGATGCTCAAGTATGTGTGTCACTTCTTGTTGTAAATTTCATCTTTTGTGTGGGTTACAATACTGAAACCAGGAGAGGTTCATGTGATCACGCAGTCTCAGAATACAAACAGCACTTACCTACCCTGGAAATGTGTGCGTGTTTATTTATTTATTTTTTTAACACTGTTGAAACCTCTTTATTGATCTATGTGTCCTTATATCATATTATGTTCATATATACATACATCCTTTTTTTTATGGGAGGAAATTTTGTAAGTAATATATTCTGTACATTGCAGATGATTTATAGATGTTTAATATTTTTACATAACTACCAGTGAAATGCCTTTTTATAATGTTGCTTTGGTGATTTATGTGTCCCTGCAGAAAAGTATTTTTTTTTTAGAAAAGTAATGGTAATTATATAATTATAAAGTAATTATATGTTCTTTAATAGCAGTGTAATATTTTTTCAAAATTTTAGCATGTATTTTAGGAAATTCACGGCACATATGGTTACTTGTCATTGGTGACTGGTTGTTCTACCTGATACCTTCATGCATC